TATCGAGTGCCCTAACCACCTGGCCATGCCAGGCCTCCAATTTATAGATAACGGTAGCGCTAGGGAACTCAAACTTCACAATCTTAACGTGTTAAATATTTCTGACGTTTTTCTTACAAATAATGAAATCTTTTTACCAATAAAGTATTTATTTTATTTCCCCTTCAGCGAACCTAATCACTAACAAATAGAGCAAGAAGTAAGCTCTTTTATTGGATAAATCGGACTCAAAGGGTTTTATACACGACAAGATAAATCTCGTAACCAAGATGATATTATTAGAAGAATTAAATAACACGACTTCAACCGATATCAATGTTGAACTGAATATATTAGGTAGTTGGGTAAAGACCATCAAACTACGTGTTTGGTTTAAACACAATACAAACATTTGATTATAATGGAGTTTGCGATGTATACGTCCAAATCTCGGAAGCTACCGTCCAAATCTCGGAAGCTGGATTATATTTGTATGACCAGGCAGTATTTTTTTATAGCTGAGCAATAAACAAAACAATAAAAATTACAAACAATTAAGTGTAAGTTTCAGATTTAACCAACAAAAAAATTACAAAAAGAAGTAAGTTTCAAATATAAAACAATCAAATAACAAACTTAAAAAAAAAATATTTGTGTTTCCTTAGTGAAAATCTCATGAGTTTTGCAACAGAAAAACAAGGCACTTTCATTGATAACTGCACCTACAAAGAAATACTTCACTAAAATGTACTGTGTGATGATAGCTCATTTTAAAACTAAGATTTCAATAAAATCCTTTTTCTCATGGATGGTGAACATTATCGAATGTCAAGTATGAGTACATTGTTGTAGAACTGTCAGACAATTCCAGGAAAGGCCGCAGGCCCAATAGCCTTCTGCAGGAACTAGCAGTGGGTGGGTATTTCTGCTAGTTGTAGTAATGGTGATAGGTAACGTTTACGCCATATGTGTTCCAAAGATGCAATCCTTAAAAAAACTGATAAACTGACACGACAGTTTCAATGTCAACTAAGTTTTAGCTTACAATGGTTAGGAAACATTTAATAAACAATACAACTATACGAAGCTTGAGAACAACGCTTATGATAAAGACTTATTACAAAATATTAAATGTATTACTCAAAAATACAATGGACAACTGAATAAATCTGCTCAGCACACGTCAAATATCAAGCAGTCTATGAAACGAACCGAAGGTAAGTTATTGCAAAGTAAAATTGTAATGAAGGCAAACTGAGCTGAATATGCAGAAACGTCTGAATGTGTGTTCAGAAAGCGATAAGCATATGGCTTTGAACAAACTGCGCATGCGTATTTTAGACCTAAATAAATCGAGAAAGCCCATAGAAATTGTATTTAGTGTAATGTTCATTTTTTAAGGAAATTACACACGGGTTAAACGTTGTTTGTGTGAAAAACTTCGCAATTAAAAAAAAACTAAAGTTGAAATCGAAGCCAATCGTTACGTGATGACAATGACATTGTCGTGTACCCTACTTATTGCACAAAAAAGTTTGACTAAGCAAAAAAACAGGTAAAGTGATTCTGAATTGAAAATTATGGCGTTTTATCGAGAAATTCGCGAGAAAAGCTGCGGACAGACAAACGGAAGCGTATTATCTATAAAGATGTATGTGTATATGTATATAAAACACTTACGAACTCACAGTAAGTTGAAACAAAAAAACAACAACACATAGAAACAATTCAGCTTTCTCAAGCTAACGGATTGGTGCCAATCAGTGAGTTTAGGCTGTTAAAATTATGATTGAATATCAAACGTAAGAACACTTAGCTAAAAAATGGATTGGAAGAAGAACAAAAACATATAATAGTGAGTAAACTTGAAGTTGAAGCTACTAATAAAATAACACTATGAATTGAAACGAAGCTTAACACAAAGAAAGCGCACACAACACTACAACCCGAAGAGCCACGTCACTACAAATTCTGCTTTTATAATATATATATATATGTCGAAACAATGTTCACTTCCTGCGCCTATATTTCCCAATTTATTCTAAGGATAGACGGGCCAAGCTTTGTTACCACGTAAACGTTATCCATTCGTTGAAAGAAGACAGATGCATCCACACCGTGATTTCCGTCTCTTGTCAGATGGAGAAGCAAATGTTAAAGGTCGACTAGCAGTTACGAAGCTATAGCATAGAACAACTGTGTAGATTAAAAGGCTTCATACATATATATATATATATCCAAGAAGAAAATATTTAAGAAGTATTTCCTTTTTTTTTTAGTTTTTAGACATGCAAGATTTTCTACATTTATGGGAATCATTTTATTTATTGACATTCGAGGTGAGTGTGTGAAAATATGATTTTATGATTAGTTATCGACCTTTAAATTGAATAACAATCTTGGTTATCGTACAGCTACGCTTTCAAATCACAGAGACTAATTCTCGTGACAATTATTCACGTCTGTGAACTATTGACATTCGAGGTGCGTGTGTGAAAATATGAATTTTATGATTAGTTATCGACCTTTAAATTGAATAACAATCTTGGTTATCGTACAGCTACGCTTTCAAATCACAGAGACTAATTCTCGTGACAATTATTCACGTCTGTCTCTTTCTGGGGTGTCGTCCATTAATCTAATTTTAGACTTGACCTCATTATACGTCACGTTTCTCCCCTACACCAGTCAAATTAAGAAAAGCTGGAGCCGGGACTGACATGTACCATGACATGTATCTGTTCCACAACGGGGATGAAACTTGAAATTTAAACTTCCCAGAGTTCACTCTAAAAGGTACAGTTGCTATAGTCTTAAAACATCACTGTTAAATACCTTTTAAATTTGCACACAATATAAGGTTGAGATTTAAGGCTTACGAGAGTTATACAAAATGGATAAACAGTCTTTATTAAAAGTACCAATTACCAACAACGACCCCCCCCCCCCCCGGGGCACAGCGGGATGTCTGCGGAGTTAAAACGCTGGAAACCGGCTTTCGATACCCGTGGTGAGCAGAGCACAGATAGCTCTTTTGTATACTTTTGCCCTTAGCTACAAACAAACAAGGAATGTGAGAAGCCACCATTTAAAACAAGTCGTCCAACAGCTCTAAGAAAATACTGACAGTTAGATTACATATAAACGTGTTAGGTTATGTATCGTATGCTGAAGGAGATTATAATGTGGAAGACATACTATATTGATGGGATAACAGGCCCCGCGGAACAAGTATGAAAGTGAAAGGAAATTCAGATACACTAATGCATATTTTCAATAAAAATATAACTCACGACATCAACGTTTCGTGTGTACAATTCTTCTACCTAAATGATGTTTTGTTTGGTTTGTTTTGAGTTTTGTGCAAAGCTACACGAGGGCTATCTGCGCTAGCCGTCCCTAATTTAGCAGTGCAAGACTAGAAGGGAAGGCAGCTAGTCACCACCACCCACCGCCAACTCTTGGGCTACTCTTTTTACCAACGAATAGTGGGATTGACTGTTACATTACAACGCCCCCACGGCTGAAAGGGCGAGCAGGTTTGGTGGGACGGGGATTCGAACCCGCAGATTGCGAGTCGAGCACCCTAACCACCTGGCGTTGAATAATGTGAAAACACGCCACACGCTCGACATATTAACATAACCAATCGACTTCAGATCTCCCACTGAGCGTTTTCTTTTTTTTTTCCTTTATTTAACGTTATACCAATAAATCTGTACACTATAAACACTGGTGTCGTGATTTTTATTTTTCATTGGGAGCTCTGATATTTGAATATACTTTGATTTTATTATGGAAATTCAATATTTTAAAGTGTGTCTTGCATGAATTTCTGTCACACTGCTTTTAAATTTAGAATATTTAAATTTCCTCTTTTTCTTTTCGTTAACCAATCAACTCTAAAATTGTTTACACATCCACGGACTAACACAGAGTTAAATGTTTTACTTAATCTCCCTCTGTTTGGCGTAACCTAGTGGATAGAGAGAGATCCATGGTTCGGGCCACGTTACCGCGAAAAAAGATCGTGCTCCGCACCTTCGGGCCGTTGGCGCGTTATAAGAGTGACGGTCAAATTCCACCGTTTGATTAACGGTGGGTGCTGTTGACGAGCAGCATTAGTTCAAAATTAAGGACGCTAGTGCAGATATTTTGTATGTAGCTTTGCGGACGTACACCAGTAGCCTAGCTTCGATTATAATTTAACAAACATACCCCTCGTTTACGTAGTTGACAATCCTTAGGTTCTTAAATTATCACCCCATCATTGCCGTTCCATATACTTACACAAATTCTTTGTATTTGGTTTAGTCTCCAGGTAGATCAGCGGTTCATTTACAGACTTACAACGTTAAAATCTGAGGTTCGATTCCCCGCGGTGGACAGAGTGCATATAGCTATAATGTGTAGTTTTGCGCTGAAAAACCAATAACAAGTATTTGGTTAATTCACGAGTGTCCTCTGTCTGTGAGATGTTAACCTGGCCGCCAGTAACAAAGAGTTCTCTCAATGTACCACCCATAAAAGCCCTATTGTGGCTCTGGGGTACGTCCACAGGCTTACAATACTAAACATCGGGTTTCAATACTCGTGTTTGTAGAGCTTTGTGTTTAACAAAACCCAAACCAAAGTGTCGGCCCTCACTGAAACTTGTTTTGAAAATTCGTTAGCACCGACTATCAGTATTGGTTTTAATTTCGCGCAAAGCTACTCGTGGAATATCTGCGCTAGCCGTCCCTAATTTATCAGTGATAGACTAGATGGAAGGCAGCTAGTCAACACCACCCACTGCCAACTCTTGAGCTACTCTTTTATCAAGGAATGGTGGGATTGACCGTAACATTATAACGCTCCCATATTTGATTACGGAATTCGAACCCGTAGATTACGAATGAAGCGTTCTAACCACAAGACCAGTATTATGAATCGTTATATCACAACAGATGGAAGAGCTAGTTACGATAAATACTTGACAAAAGTATTATCTGTTCGAAAAAAACAAAACAAATTTGATTGTTTGATGATAAAAGCAATAAAGAAAATGAAAGCTATCTCCAGTTTAAGTTACAACAGCTTTTAAATTTGTTATTTCAATAAAGAGCCCTAGAAATCATATTCAGTTACAATCTAAGATAGACAACTTATATTGTATAGTGATAAATTATTTCTATTTTTTCTTTTGCGTATTAATTATGCAACACAAATACAAAAATTTATGCTTTCATGATAGCCCCTTATATTTATTTTTTTCTTTATAAAGATATCAAATACACTTCTCTAAACATTTCAACCAGATTATTGACAATGTACCCTATCGCATACGGGAAGTAGATGATGGAGAAGTCTCATGAACCACCTTGGTACCAACTGTCCAATTTTTTCTGTTCCTCTTCCAATGAAGTGGTTCCCTTGGTTTAGAAAACAATCATCCAGTAGATGATGAAGAAGTCTCTCATGAACCACCTTGGTACCAACTGTCCAATGTTTTCTGTTCCTCTTCCAATGAAGTGGTTCCCTTGGTTTAGAAAACAATCATCAATTAGATGATGAAGAAGTCTCTCATGAACCACCACCTTGGTACCAACTGTCCAATGTTTTCTGTTCCTCTTCCAATGAAGTGGTTCCCTTGGTTTAGAAAACAATCACCCAGTAGATGATGAAGAAGTCTCTCATGAACCACCTTGGTACCAACTGTCCAGTGTTTTCTGTTCTTTTTCCAATGAAGTGGTTCCCTTGGTTTAGAAAACAAACAGCAGTTAGACCAACTTACAGGAATGGTACCTCAGCTGACAAAAAATTGTCCAGAATTCAACTTCAGATCCAAAAATGTCTAAAATACTTCTGGGAACTCCAGTGCCAAAAGTATTAACAATTCCTAAAAGAATGGAAGAAATCCTGGACTACAAGGACACTCCCTGAAACAACTGATGGAAAAGCTAGCAAACGAAATGCAGTCAGCAGAAGGATAACCCAGGTCTTGTAATGAATCATCATAGCTTGTCTAAATGAAGGAAAGATAACTAAATCAACCAGCTACCATAAGTGTTTTAGTTTAAATACAGACACCCAAACTACACGTAACAGAGGATAGAAAGAGAGAAGAGAGTATTGGCAAGATTTCCGAGAATTTCTCAACAAGATATCTCTTGCCATCAAGGAGTACAAGAGATCAGAGAATACTTCCCAAAAAACATGTATTTGTTCTGACAAAGTTAAGCCAGCACATCTGTTACCACCTCAATAGCAATTATGACCAACGAAACAGTTCTAACTTCACAGATAAGTCTGTCTGACCCACAAACTATTTTGGTGATTCACTTTTTATCTTATGTCAACTGTTCTTATTGATTATACACGAGGAATATTCCTTCATATAATATTCTTACTTAGATGTTTTAGAAATATTTAGATTTAATTTTTTTTTGGGGAGGGGGGTTTATATAATTTAATAGTAATTTCTAGAGTATCTTGTGTGTTCATTGACAAACATTTCCAAGTTTGTGGACCAGAAAAAAAGCAGATGATAATAAAACTTTATGATGTGTCACTGACAACGTATAGCAGCAAATTTCATATATATCACGAGAGATACTCGGCTTATTATCAATGACAATAACCAGTAGAGAAGTCCAAACAGCAGTGATGAAACAAACATTCTAATTAGACTTGCGTTCCCCGATTTTTCAGGTTTTTATAAATATTAACCTTTTAAATTAGATGACCTTACATATGAAAAACAAAACTGGATTATTCTTTCTCAAAATTGGGCAACTTTCTATATCACTACGTTTTGCATACTCAAACAGTTAACGCAGCACTGCAAGTGGACTTAAATTAAAACAACATTCTTTATTTCAAATTGTTGACAAATACCTAAGTTACAGTTTATGTTAAGAAAAAGTGCAATAAATAAAACATACACCTGACAACATGTTACATATTAACGAGGAAGATTTTTTTAATCTACAAATTAAATATCAACTATGCTATAATGGTGCAAATCTTTTAAATTTTGTATATTACAATGTCTCTGCTAGATTTAATTAACTAGTGGATATACATGGTGTAGAACAAAAATAAATTTTTAGGCTTATAAGAAATAAAACAATAATTTTGTGAATAATACAAACTTTGAACAAGTGATTTAAATAATTAATGTCTGATTTCATAAATAATGGTTTTCAGTTCACTAACATCTTTTTTTTTAAGGTCTGATGTTTATTTGCAGCAAATACTCAGTCAAGCCTTTTGTAGAATGGGTTTTCCACTCGAAGCCCTACAATATCAAGAAAATTGAGATGTTTATAAACTGTTGAAATAATATCGTAATGCTAATCTTGAGACAACACTCGGAGGAAACCTAGGATGCAGCAAAAAAATACCGTACCATTTCGAAGCAGAAATGTCCATGTGAATTATATTTAGAAAGAAAAACCTGTAGTAGGGTTAAAAGTTTAAACTAATACCAAATGTGATTTACACTTTCCACCTATGTATTTATTAAACACTTTTAATTACATTTATAGTATTTAATACCCTTCTGGGCTTGTCAAAAAAAACAAATTGAAAATATAGAGAGTGGTAGTCTCTTCTTCATTCTCAAGAACACTTTAATTTGAGACTTATTTTCAGCTCGTTAATTTAGAAAGACCAAGATGTAACTCACATGTAATAAAAGAACTTAAATACTGGCACATATTACTGAAGAAACAAAACAAATATTGTGCTATATTTCATACCGTGCATGGGTATGAATATTTTTTAGTTTAATGTATACAGTCATACACGGAAAAATTCTGTTGCATATTTAAAACACAAAAAGCTTCTAACTGCAATGAATAATTAATTTGTTATGATACACAAAATCAATATTTTTATTCTACAAACAATTATACGTAATTGCCACCTTTAAAAAAGTAATAAAACTACTTTATTTGTATGTTGCAAGTTTTTAAAAAAATTATACTGACAGAGACAACAACAATGGATTAGCTTTAGCGTACTATGCAGCTCTTTGAAAGTTATAACAAGAATGGAAACAAAAAACATGCTTTGCGATCATGAATTCAACATGACTTTTGTATTTTTCATTACTTGTTACTAAATATGTTGAAAGTTATACGCTTCTCAATTATAGATAATTCACAAAAGATAATGTGAAAAAGCTTTTAAATTTTTATACAAATATTATCGATCAAAATAATTTATTTAGGTCTAAAAGGTACAAGATTCCATTTGAAATTCAAACATTTAAAACAAATTAGACAGAATTTAATTATGTTATTTTTGGAATTTAATATACACTAACGTGGTTTTGAAAATAATAAGAATGTTTTAGGGAAGACGAAAACAAGTAATTTTTCAATTAATTATAAAACTTGATTTCACTATGTTTTTATATTAGGACTTAAAACAAAATGTCTGAGTGTGTGTATGTCATTGTTCTACATAATAACTTGTAGACCCTATAATGGTAAAGTTTTATTAAAGTTATTCTTACCATACTTATCACGTATTCCATCTACTTTTGCCTGTCTATGTTGTTTCCTGTGTTAAGATATTAAAAAACAGAAATTTAGTTCTGGGTCAAAAGGAATGTTTACACAAGTCAATTGATGTATTGTAGTTCCAAAGATACAATTTTTAACACAAATGAATAAGAAATAAATGACTCTGAATTTAATTTAACATCTAAAATACAAGAGTTAATAAAAAAATCAAATTGTCAATCTTGAAACCAACCATTATCAAATGTATTTTTAAAGGTGTCATTTAACGCTGGAAAACAATTACGTATATATTATTTGTAGGTATATTTAATGAGAAAAGAAAAACAAAAAGAATTAACAAATAACATATTCTGGCTGTTAGATAATAAAGATTTCTGCTAAAAAAAACACCAACACAAATTCACAACTATTTTACTCAGAAATGGTAGATCTTTATATGTTAGTCACTTGAAGATACAACTAAATACAAACATTAAATTTTAAGTTGTATATTTAGCTACGTAGGTATTCATACATCTACCTATAAGTGGTAATGTCAGTTGTTAAAGAGTGCCATAAGGGCAATAACCAATGATTTAGCTCAATCGGTAAGGCACTTGGTTGTCACAAGAGCCCAGGAGATACACAAGTGGAGGTATCACATATACAAAACAACCTTATTAATGGATATGACATTAAGCTTTCTTTTTGAAAACTTTTGACTTGTTATATACACATAAAGTTACTTGAACCATTAGGTACATTACCAAAATATATATATGGTCAAGGAATGACATACCTTTCTGCTGCTCTTAATTTCAGATTTTCCTGTTCCCTGTCAAACTTCGTGACTTCCCTTTGGTACTTTTCTATTTTTCGTTTATGATAAGAGCGGCAACACCAACAGCAAAAGATGGTCAGAGCCATAAGAATCATTACTCCTATTATACTAATGGTGATGAGCAGGGCTTCAAAATTGACTTGTTTAAAGAAATATTATTATTATTATTAAAACACATAGATAACAAAATTCAAAGGTTTACATGATTTATACTCTGAGAAGTAAATGTCACTTTAATCAGCTTACCATAGCAGGTACCCCAGGCCATATCTCCAAGTGATCCACACTCATCATATCTATACACGATATGTTCAAAGGGATAGAAAGAACATTTTTTGTTCTTGTAACAATAGTAGCACTAAGGGAGAGAAAGAAAACGAGGGAAATTCAATTAAAACAAACATTCACTTGTGGAACAAATTTTCAGTATCGATGTGAAAAATTCCTAAAATAAAACTACCATAAATCCTCTGATTCTGTTATTAACCAACAGCTAACTCTGCATAAATCCTCTGATTCTGTTATTAACCAACAGCTAACTCTCCATAAATCCTCTGATTCTGTTATTAACCAATAGCTAACTCTGCATAAATCCTCTGATTCTGTTATTAACCAACAGCTAACTCTGCATAAATCCTCTGATTCTGTTATTAACCAACAGCTAACTCTCCATAAATC